CAGAGGTATTCTGAAGCTGCGTTCTATACACTGGCTAGCTGTTTCCTTTTGCTTGTTCTTAAGGTTTTCCTTTTCATTGTGTGCAGGTAATGCAGGCTATGTTACGCAAAGATGCCAATCCAGAGCTTGCCTGTGCTATTGATATATGGAGTCTGGGTTGTACTGTCATTGAGATGTACACTGGACAGCCCCCTTGGAGTGGATTAGACGGGGTAAACTGTTTTAATAAACTTTTATCCATTAGGTTGCCACATAATAGCTTCACAGCCTGAGATGATATAATCATTGGTCAACTGGCCCAATCTCAATGAAGAGGCTGGAAGTCCAATTTTTAGTTATTCCAGTAGTGATGTCTAAAGAAACTGTGTCTGGTTTTTTGTCACGTTTTAGGTGAAAGCTATGTTCAGTGCACTGAACAAATCACCACCTGTACCAGAAACGTTATCTTCGGAAGGAAAGGATTTCCTCAGGTGCTGCTTTCAGAGAAAACCTGCAGATCGGCCGACAGCTCTGTTGCTACTTGAGCATCCTTTCTTAGGTAATACTAGTTCACGTGAGCATAGTGCTACTATTTCAGGTTGCTCAGAAGATTTCTCTAGGATGAAATTACATGTGAGTTTTACAAGCTGTTTAATGTTTAACATATTGGTATTTGATATTGATTTCTCTTTTGTTTATCGAGCTTTTATTAGTTTGATTGTTTTCCTTTCATCATAGTTAGACTTCATCCATTTTCCGTTAATAACGCTTAAATAGTGTTATTCAAGTGGTTTCAATCCATTAACTTTTCATGATATTTTGCAGAGTCCAAAAGACCCAACAAACTTGAGTAAGGAACTTAATCTACTTTCACCAGGAACATCATCTAGGCAAGCAAAATCTCTATGTAACGGGTAATAGTGATTTTCTCGAGTCCTTTTCATTTTCTTTTATAAATGTTTGGTTTCTGTCAACAGTACTCTATATCCTATGAAATCATCTATCATCCTTGTTTTCTGGTATTAACATCGATCGTTCCAATCAATTTGTTTGAGTTGTCTCCATTGACCATGATGCTTATCTTATGCAAAGGGAACTTGTGTTTCTGTTTCATCGAAACAAGCCACAGATCACATTCTGTAACCTGCGACTACGGAGCAACTTCTCACCACTCTCCTCGTTCTACACTCGAAATGCTTCCTTGTATTTCTTCGCTGGAGCTGAATCCCAGTTCATTTGCAGCTGGCTCCTCAAACAATCCCAATAGTAATTTGCTTCCCGGACCTGAAAACAGAAGTGCTTATGTTTTCAACTGCAGGATTCAAGGAAAGGAAATCCCAAACCTATAACTTTGTGTATAAGATCATAAAGCAAGAAAATATGAAAGAACTTGTGTACATATTAGACTAGGTGAAATAGAGAATACTTGTAATATGTTCATTCATTTGTGTTCTCGACATCACATGTTTATGTTTAAAGAATGTAAAATGGCTATATTTTGGATGAAGGTAGTAATTCTTTTCATACTTAAAGTTGTAAAGTTAAAGGTAGTAAATTTTGTGTTTAAGGTGTTTTTAACTAACTAATGAGAGACTACTCTGTTGAGATACTATTCACTTTCTTTTCAACAAAATATGCCAAAGATCGATTTAGTACAACTAACATAACACAATGTTGATATGTAAGAGGATGTGAACGTGACCTTTGGCAATTAAATACAATCGACCTTGATATTTTTGGTGTTGAATTTGGGCAATGCATTTAAAGATAAAATATTGACCGCACCAAGGAATTTCTATAATTGTTTTTAAGTCGGTGCATGCATAGTATATATAGCTCATGGTTAGCATCTGGAGTCCTGTGACAAGAGAGTGCCACCGATACTAAAAGGTAAGTTCTATAAAGGAGTGGTTAGATCGGCCATGATGTATGGGGCTGAGTGTTGGCATGTTAAGAACTCACATATCCGGAATATGAAAGTAGCAGAAATGAGGATGTTGAGGTGGATGTGCGGGCACATTAAGATTGATAAGATTAGAAATGATGATATTCGGGAGAAGGTGCACGTGGCCCCCATTGATGACAAGATGCGGGAAGCGAGGCTCAGATGGTTCGGGCATGTTCAGCGGAGAAGCCCAGATGCTCCGGTAAGAAGGTGTGAGCGGCTGGTTGTGGAGGGCATGCGAAGAGGTAGAAGGCAGCCTAAGAAATATTGGAGAGAAGTGATAAGACAGGATATCGCGAGACTTCAGATTTCCGAGGACATGACACTTGATAGGAAGATGTGGAGGTTGAGTATTAGGGTCGTATGTTAGGAGATATGCGAGTCTTGCTTTACTTCGTACCTTTGTGAGACTAGTCTGGTAGGGTTTTTGTGTAAGATAGCTAGAGACAATGTTGTTTCTTACTATTTCACTTTTCAATACAGGACATATTTACTAGCTAACGCTTTTGCTTTGCATCTTTCTTCTGAATTTCATGTTGTTCCTATTTTTCCTATGATTTTTATGGTGATATTAATATTGTCTCCTTTTGCCTTTTTGTTTTCTTGAGCCGAGGGTCTTCCGGAAACAACCTTTCTACTTCTTCGGGGTAGGAGTAAGGTCTGCGTACACACTACCCTCCCCAGACCCCACTAGTGAGATTTTACTAGATAATGAGAACTTAATTACGTACTAATACATATACATTTATTTCCATAAAAATTTAATTCTCACCCAGCACTATTGTAAAGGTGAATCAGCCCCTTGGCCACGTTAATGCCAAGATTTTGGGTTCACAGTTAAAAGAGTCTTATCCCATCTACGACTGACAGCAAAAGAAGCAGGGCACAGTCGTAATCTAGTTATATGAAAATGAAATCACAACTCATTTGGGAGAAAACAATAACAATAATTACATCTCAATTGGAATTTTTACATTTCTATGCCATATAGGAAACTATATTACCCTCAATGTTTAAGGTTTGATATAATTACATTTAGTATATTTGATTACCAATTATATACCATTAGTGGTTTTTAAGGGTAATTACACTCCTAATTTAATGGTACCGTATATTCCTTTTAATACCACTCCCCTCACGTTTCTCTCTCCAATTCCCACACCCTCACCCACGTTTCCCTCCCACACCCACGATTTCTGTATCAAAATCCCATTATTTCTTCCATAGCCAAGGTTTTGAATTCGAATTTGGGTTTTCAAAAGACATTGTTTGTTTGGATTGGATGTTGTTGCAAAGAATTGAGAATTCTCTCTACGTCTCTCTCTATCTCGCAATCCCAAATTTCAGTAATATAAGAGGAAAGGATAAGAGAGCAGCAATTCCACCATTGACAGCCATTAAAAAGCTTTGAAGCTTTGAATTCTAATTTGGGTTTTTAAAAATCATTATTTGTTTGGATTGGGTGTTGTGTAAATAATTGGGGATATAGTTTGGAGTTTATATATCAATTTTGAGGGGTTTTGGTGAAGATTAGACTTGGTTTTGGCTGAATTTCAGATTTAAACTCGAAGAAGAAGATATGACATACATTATATTGCAGAAATTGTAGATAAATTGTAGAAGAATTGTAGACTATTATTTATTTATTTTTGAGCTTTGTGTTTTTGTGTTAAAAGTTTTGATGAGAACTTGTTATACCACTTCGTCTGTTTTGGAGCTAACTTGTGTAGAGGAGAAGATGTTTTTTAAGTTATATATATTGCTATACCTGTAAATTCAAGAAAGTATGGTTGTATTGTATTTAAAGAGACGTGAATTTGTAGAATAGGTTGAATGTGAGGAATGAGTCAAATAAGACTTACAATGGGTTGTTTTCTACATTTAATCTACACCAAAACTACATATCATTTGAAAAATTAATATGAAAATACAGAATTTCAATGTTTCTACAAATTATCTACAGAATTTCAATGTTTCTGCAAATTATCTACAAAATTTCTTAGAAAGATCTATCCTTCAGCATATTTTTCTGGATTCCATATTTAGCATAGCAGTTTCGTAAGGAGCAACAAGAGCATATAGGAGAATCACAAAATTGTAGCATAATCGGGATTTTCGACATAATTGCGTTTTTTGCAGAAGATTTGTAGAAGTTTTAATCGTTTTTGATTTGTGAAAACAGAAAACAAAACATTTATAATCAGAAAGACTTCTAGCTAGGAAAAGGTAAGACCTAAAGTAAACATATAAATATAGAAACTTAATCGCAAAATAATTGATATATATATATATATAGAGAGAGAGAGAGGGAGAGATATTTTTTTACTTCCATTATATCAATTTTTTGTTAAATTTGCATGAGTTCTATGAGATTGTAAGCAGGGCGGATCTAGGCCTAAAATATGGGGCACGTGAACCAGGGGTGGAGTCAGCATGTTCCCTTTGAGTTCGACCGAACCCAATAGCTTTGGTTCAAACCCTATATTTATTTTTAAAAATTTATTGAATATGTATAAATTATTCATTTCAAATTCAGTAACTTAAAATGATTAGAATCTCCGAACCCATGAACTTCAAATCTTTCAAATCCTGGCTCCGCCAATGACGTGAAACCATGGTCAAACTAGGTATTTTATGTACATATTCTCTAGAATTGGTGTGATATTATCTATTGGCACACATGCTCCAAAAAGACTGAGTGGTTCAAAGATAAGTTATTTACCTTGAAGAACAAGGATCAATTCCCACTTAAAATATTTTTTTTCTTTTTTTTAGTAGTGCACCCATATTTTAAAAATCCTAAATTCGCCTCTGAATGGGTAAGTCTTTAAAACAAGTTCAAATATAAAATTTTCTTATAAATGCTGCAGTTTTTTCTACCTTTTCTCTTGTTGCAGTGAGAGGGCGAGATTATGAACCTTATGCTGGATACTGCTAGGTAGGAAGCACTTTTGAAATTAAATTAGTAATATCAATGAAGATGTTGCGATTAATCAAATTTGCAGGATAACTCATTCTGCAATTTTGGCAACTTATATAGAAAAAAAACACAAGAAAAGAAAACAAACACACGAAACAAAAGAAAGCAACAAAATTAAAAACAAAAAACAGACGGTTACGTTGCTCATGTTTTGGGCAGCTACTTTTCAAAATATGCCTTAGATGAATTTTTTTCGGTTTCAAAACTTTCGGTACCTGCATCGGGCCTTTACTGATAAATCCGGATTCGTGCAGGGAATCGCTGCCTAATAAAGATGACTCCAAAATCAAGCCTTGAATCTAAGACCTCTAAGCATGAACAAAAGCTACTGGTTCGGCCAAACCCGCATCCAACACTGTGGCTCCGCCCATGCTCATCACTCCACTATAACTCTTGGTAGTGGGCTTGAATGAACCTAACAGACACAGTCATGTACCTGAACTTCTAACGAGAATTGATGTTTCTTTGTTCTTCATTTTCACCTTTCCAAGTTTCAATAATTCCATGTCATCAATTTTCACAATCGGTGCACCTAAGTTTTTTTTTTGAAGTATTATATACGTTAAACACGAAAACTGCAAATTTTCCAAATAAAAAAACTTAACGGATGGTAGAAATCTAGATAAAGTATTTTTTCCCTCTATTTTCGAGGCAAATACAACTCAAACCAATTCATATCACCTTGTGTTCTAGACATTCTACTAACTCTAGAAACAAAATAGAGGGCAAAAGAATTTAATTACCTAAACCTTCAAGGGTTTACGAACCACTGGCTGACTCGACTAATTTGGATTTACGTTTGGAATCTTTACGCAGGAAGTTAAAGCATTTCCTATCAAGAAGCTATGTTTTTCATTATCAGGGCTCAAATCCGAGACCTAATGAAGGAATCCGAACTATCCCATTACACTTCTTGGTGATCTATCATGCAAACTACTATATTCTTTAAGTTTCAATGAACTCTAACAAAGAAAATACTCAATTCTTGGCCAGATGCACCATCAGGATTTATCATGTAAAAAGCTTCTGAATCTTTTGATCCAACCACCCTATCAAATCTTACTCTCATATAAGTCATTTCTCCATCAGCAGCACTCTCTTTCTGATCAGGTGGACAAGGAAGAACACCTGCACCCATTGAAACACCTCTCAGTAGTTGCATAACATGAACTTCATCATCTGTCATATTTTTCCTCCTTATAGAATACCCAAATTTTCTACCATTACAATAAACAGCCCAAACAAACTCCTCCAATACCTTCTTCTTAGGTGTCTTTGTCTCACTTTCAAGAGCCAATCTTACTATATCTGATCCCATTTCTTTGTGAAAAACTCCGGTGAGCATCGGCAACTCGATCACGAAAATGGGAAGACGGTGTGGATCTTCTTGAATAGCTAGACTAACTCTGCCTTTTTTGTAACCAAATAAAGTCCCTGTGGTTGCTTTATCAGTTAACATTGGCTTCCTTGGACGACCTAATAAGGCTACCATTTTGCAACCAGTTGTTAACATGGGAAGGAGTTTAAACATACGAAGAATGCCACCACCACTACTTGAGGATTTTCTACTTTTCTTGGTGTCTCTATTGTTTTTACTACTATGATTCTGATGATGATGATGATTTGTGGTACTAAGTTGGAGCAATGATAATAAGGCAGGGTTTTCCATTTGGTTGAATGGGCTAGAGTATATAGATGACATATTGTGGTGAGTTTGTTTAGGGTTTTGATTCTTGAATTGGAAGGCCATTTCTTGAATAAAGAACTGATCAGAAAGATGAATCTTGATGTATTGCTATTTATAAAGGATTTAAGTTATATATGTGGTTAGTGTATGAATTTGTATTAGTGTTTTTTAACATCATGTAAGCATGTCTTATTTTTCAAGTCATTAATCCAACTATCGCGAACAATTATATGTCGGTATTTTCCTCCGTCCCAGTTTATGTAGCTTTGTTTGACTTGTAATCTAAAAGAGAAACCATAAACTATTGTGTGACTATAAATAATCTCAATAAGGATAAAATAGAAAGTCTAAGTTATATTGTCTCTAAATATAGAAATATAATATTTTTTTGGGGAGAAATTCAAAAATAGCCAGATTTACAAGTGATCATTCAAAATTGCCACAGTTTCAAAAATTATCGAAATGCCACTTTTCATGTAAGGAAAAATCTGAACGAAAATACTGTTCAAAATACGAAATTATACTGGATTTCCAGTAAAATATACCGGTCCAACCTAATATACTGGAGATTGGAGCATCAGTGCTCTAGTCTCAAGTATATTATACTGGAACTTTTCGCGTGTTGGAGTTCCAGCATAATATGCTGGAAGTTCATACACAGGTGCACTGATCTCCAGTATATTATGCTGGAACTCCAACACGCGAAAAGTTCCAGTATAATATACTTGAGACTAGAGCACTGATGCTCCAATCTCCAGTATATTATGCTGGAACTCCAACACGCGAAAAGTTCCAGTATAATATACTTGAGACTAGAGCACTGATGCTCCAATCTCCAGTATATTATGCTGGAACTTTCTGTGTTGCAGCAAAATAGTGGCTATTTTTTAATGACTTTGCAAATGCTGACTATTTTCAATGATCAGTCCGAAAACTAGCTAGTCCGTGCTATTTTTACATTCTTTTGTGGTAGCAGAAGTAGCATTATAGCCATGGGTTCAATTGAGCCTGTAACTTTCGAAGCGGTGCATAAATTTAGAGATGTGTAAACATCCATAAATTATAAGAAATAGTAGATATGAATCCATAACTATAAGAATATAATAGGTTCAATGCTAAAAACGTTAAATGTTGAACCTATAAAATTTAATTGCTCGATTGCCTCTATTCTTTTGGACATAATAAAAATAAAAGTATAACATATAATGAGACATAGGAAATACTATTTAAATAATTTAAGTATAAAAATTCCTGTACAGTATCAATATATAGAAATTGAAATATATTCATTATATTTGTATAGTTGTTTGGAAAAGGGATAAAAAGAGAAGTTAAGAAAAAGGCGACTTGTTGGTTAGGTTGTACTTGTAATCTTTTTAAGTGGGGAATGGAAGACATTACTCCTAGTTGGTTAAAGTGGAATAAAGAATAAAACATAAAAAAGAAAAGAAACGGGGGGCTATTTTAATTTTCTCCTAGACGTTCTCTTTTGAGGGGCCTCTCCCTTCGCCTTTGGATAAGTTCTTGGTTTGATTTTCAACAACATTTGGTAATAATATCNATATATATATATATAGTAAAAGGATTTCTTGTTACGTCATATATAACATTGTAGATTAAAATTGAAGGAAACATCATAGTATAGTGTTCTCATCTCAACCGTATTTTATACTTCGGCTTACAAACGGAATAAAGTATTTATAAATAAGAACTTAGTTCATTAATTATTTGTGGCAATTTATTAGATTTATAGGAGTATAATATATGAAGTTATAGATAATTGTGCCGACATCTAACAGTTGTCATTCTGCTCTAAAAGTACTAGGATTTGGCCTGAGAATTTAATGCTTAACAAAACTTAATGTTACGTTCCACATTCGAAAAATGTACTTTGATCCTAAATAAGACTAATAACAATTAGGGGCGTACATAGGTTGGGTTGGTTCGGATTTTACGATTACCAAACCAAACTAATTGTGTCGGGTTATTAAATCTAAAGACCAAACCAAACCAATAAAACTCGGGTTTTTCAATATCGGTTTTTCTCGGATTTTTTCGGGGTTTTTTTTCCCCGGTAAAATCTTCGTGGAACAAAACATATAACTTGTACTCAAAATATTCTTTAATCCTTGTAAGATACAACTATATAAAGTATTTTTCAAGAAAATAATACAAAATATGAGATGTGTCATGGCATTATACTAAAATATTCAACAATAAAAACAATAAAATTATGTAATAAGAATATTGCTAATTAAAAAACCATAATAAAAATAAACATAATCTAAAAGTGCTAAGTCATGCTAAAGTAAGTAGACTAATAAGGGAGTATTAATTACGTGACTAAACGCTAAAGAAAAGATAAAAATAGGTTATGCATTGTTATCTAAATTATTGCAAAACAAAAAATAAATATTCATTACATTCTTGTTCGTAGTATTGACTATTGAATTGAATATTTTTTGTTAGCATTAATGTTGATTTGATTTTGGTTTGGGTTTTTGTTAACATTATTTAATTTAGTAATATTAATGGCTATAAAACTTATTGGAACAGTCAAAAGTTCTAAGTTCAACCTTAAAATAATACCTTAAAAGATAAATTTATCAAAATTTTTAAGAAATATTTATAAATTACATCACAATAAATATATTTATATATTAAATATATCTAAAACTTCTATATATATAATGTCGGGTTGGTTTGGTTTCGGTTTGACTTTCTTTAGTTAAAACTAAACCAAACCAATTATGTTCGGGTTTTTTTTTCCAACACCAAACCAAATCAAATCAAACCATAGTCGGGTTTTTTTCTCGGATTATCGGGTTGGTACGGTTTGTTGGTTTCCTTTGTACGCTCCTAATAACAAGTATATACATATTTAGAGCGGATTTTGCGGATCCTTATTATTTTCGACTCAAACTCTACCAATAATTACCACAATGCCTCAGTTTCAAACAATTTGAGTTGAGATTATCTATATGATATTCTTATTGACTATATACTTAAAAATGATTAAAACGTAAATATTAATATGACATTATTCTCATTCTGAATCTGCATTGAAAATCCACAGCTCTATATTGATAAGCCACAATTATTACATGAAACTCATATAAGGAGAGATTTATTAAATTCAAAAAACGAGATATAAACGAAAACGGTCCCTAAGTCAAATTTTTGATGTGACCAAGTTGATTGAGGAATAAAAATATTAAAAGGAATTTGGAAAGTGATAAGATAAGGATATATGGTCACACCACCAATTAATTTCTTGGGAGTGTGGGGAGGAGAAGAAGAAAAAACACTTAAAGAAAAAAGTGTTCTTTTTTAAGTGATACTTTGGTATTTGCATGTGCCTCTCTGATTATCACATGGAGTATCAACATCAATTCCCTTTATGCTTTTCTTTTTTCACTATAGCCTATAGGTGCAACTCATCTATCCCTAAAACTTTTGCTAGCTACTTCCTCTTGTCAATTTGAAACTCACTTTAATTTGTTATATTTAGTGACTATCCTTTTCATCGCTCCATCAAATATATATCTCAATTTTTCTTTTATGATCTAGACTAAAGACAAGACTGATTACTCAACCTAAGAGGTGCTTTAATTTGAGCTCTATTGCACAAGTCGACTATGCTAGTAATTGTTGGTGAATTGTATGTTCAAAAGCTAACTTTTTCCGTCGGGGAGTAATTAGCTACCAACATATTAACGATAGAGGCAAATTTGTTATACATGTGTTAATTGCTTTTCACTCTTGAAGAAAAGATCCCTAGTAACTATAGCCTTCAATGATATTTTCCACAACTCTTATCATTAATCGGCTGTCAAATTATTATGTGGCCCTTTTGTATATGGCTGGTCCATATATATGCTAAAGACACATCATATCAAAATGGAGACCATTAAAATTGATACTCTTATTGGTAACTCAACCAAAAGTACGATGCTACCATATGCATAACCATTAGGCAATGTGGCCATAAATTCTTTTGCGTAATGGGATCGCAATTATGGACAGGCAGTGGCCTACTTAATGCCACACCCTTATCATATATCACATGGATCATAGATTGAAAGGAAAAAAAGTTGGTGGTAATGTCGATGAAACTTGCGCCATGAAATCACATGAACTTGAGGTCAGCAACATAAATATAAAAAACTTATTCGCACTTGACGTTCATATTAAATTACATTATTAATTACAGTTAAATAAATATTGAAGCATAAAGGTATATTAATTAATTGCAGTATAAGTAGCAAAAGTAATATATAAAACATATTATCTAGATATATATTGGTTTGACATAAATAGGCGATTTTGAATACATAAACATGACATGAGGCCACAGCATATCCAAAAGGAGACAAAGGAAACCTACTATGCTAGACTCTAGTTTTCTTCCTTAAAAATGAAAGCAGACAACTTTGTTTGGCTTCCGGTGAAACATTTTCGACATAAAATATCTTTATGAAAATCAATTCAATTAAAGAAATCATCTTCTTAATCTAATGAAAATTGTTTGTCTTCCAAATTAGTAAGTGTCTTATTAAATCAGTAGGGGAAATATATCTTTTCTATGTTTTTCAAGATCTACCATGGTTAATCTTAGGCAACTTAGCAGAAGAAGCATATGATTTATGAATAGAGCAAGTGACGTAAATCTTTTTTTAAGTCCTCAAAAGTAAAGGGAAAAAAACTAATAATAATCCACCAAATTTCCATCGTAAAACTGGCATGTCTGCCCACTCGTATAATTGTGCTAATGATGGGTCCGATTCTTTATGTCGCTTTCAGCGAGTTTGATGTTACATTTAACTGATCTAACTTTGATTGAGATTGGAGCACTTCAGGGAGTGTTTGGGAAAGAAACTAAAGGTCCATCA